GCAAAAATGTATTAAATATTCGATTGCGCTGTACAGTATTAAGACTATAAACACATATGCTTGATCAAGACACTCCCAAACCCAGCCTCGATGGCACAGCCAATCTACAACTCTAGTTGAAAAAACAGTCCAAAAAAGTATGTTTTAAGTTTGGCCCTAAACTGATTTTCATTGGTAATGTCCTTCAGATAGTCTGGCAATGAATTCCACCATTTAGGTCCCACAATAGCCAAAGATCTATCAGCAAGTTTTGAATTTGTTGATGGTATATCAAACTGAGTGTGGCTAGATGATGAGGATCTGTCTTTTCCTGTACTGACTCTGGCATTTGTGAACAATTCACGAAGATACAATGGAGCGGTGCCATTTGCAACACGAAATACAGTCATAATAACTTTGTACATGATTCTTGCTCGAATTGGCAGCCAGTGAAGTGATTTAAGGATTTCAGCACTGGATTGATAGTAATTAGCTCCAGTACAATTCTAGCAGCATGATTCTGCACACGTTATAATTTATCAAGTTGGTAGGCTGGAATATTCGCGAATAATCCATTGCAAAAGTCTAAATGTGAATAAATCAAACCGTGAACAAGGATTTCTGCAGATTTCTGAGTGAGATGTTTTCTGATTGCTTTCAAATTTCTTAACTGCATGTGTGCAATCTGACAATTGAAGATTGTCATAATGCATAGATCCCAGACCTATCTAATTCTTATTATCAGATTAGTGGTTAAATCTATTGTTATTCAAACTAGAACTGCCACTGTCATGGCGTGAATACCCCCGCATACCACTTTGTCAGAATCAACAGTGGCCATTTAGAGATCAAGGACAACCTCCCTGCCAAATCTGAGGTTACTAAGCCAGTACATTGCTAAGTTATGTATTCTACATGCTTCAAATGTGAAAATGTCAAAATCAATACACTGTGGACAGGCATTCTTAAACATTTGAGCAGACAAACTCATTATAGTAAAAATCCCCGTGACATTAACCTTTGACACAGTCAACTAAAAATCAATTGCGGCCATCAACTAGTCATTAACAACCTCAATATCAAATATGAAGAGTGTTGACCAAAGCATTCTTAAGCAATTGAGGGGAAAAGCTTTTTTAGTCAAGGTCCCTGTGACCTTTGACCCAGTGACCTCAAAATCAATAGGGGTCACCTAATGGTCATGATCAATCACCATGCCAGATATGAAGACTGTGGGTCATAGGTTTAGGTTATTGGGCGGACAAACTTTTTGAAGTCAAAACCCCTGTGACCTTGAGCTTTGCCCTAGTGACCTCAAAATCAATAGGGGTCATCTACTAATCATGACTAACCTCCATGCCAGATATGAAGACTGTGGGCCAAAGGAATCTTAAGTTATTGGGCGGACAAGCTTTTTTAAGTCAAGGCCCCTGTGACCTTGACCTTTGACCCAGTGACCTCAAAATCAATAGGGGTCATCTACTAATCATGACTAACCTCCATGCCAAATATGAAGACTGTGGGTCAAAGGTTTCTTAAGTTATTGGGCGGACAAACTTTTTGAAGTCAAAGTCCCTGTGACCTTGACCTTTGACCCAGTGACCTCAAAATCAATAGGGGTCATCTACTTATCATGACTAACCTCCATGCCAAATATGAAAACTGTGGGTCAAAGGAATCTTAAGTTATTGGGCGGACAAGCTTTTTAAAGTCAAGGCCCCTGTGACCTTGACCTTTGACCAAGTGACCTCAAAATCAATAGGGGTCATCTACTAATCATGACTAACCTCCATGCCAAATATGAAGACTGTGGGTCAAAGGTTTTTTTTAAAGTTATTGGGCGGATAAGATTATTTTAGTCAAAGCCCCTGTGACCTTGACCTTTGACCCAGTGACCACAAAATCAATAGGGGTCATCTACTAGTCATGACTAGCCTCCATGCCAAATATGAAGACTGTGGGTAAAAAAAAACCTTAAGTTATTGGGCGGACAAGGAAAACCGACGGACGGCTGGACGTTCGGACAGACGGCCGGCCGGACGGACAAGCTGATTCCAGTATATCCCCCTTACAACTTCATTGTGCGGGGTATAATAAAAGATCAGAGTAGGAATATATCAATGCAGTTGAGTCTAGTGAATTTGGTGGTGAAGGTCATATCTCACACAGCCTAAATTTCATGAATACATCAAAGGACAACATAGTAAGACACTTTGTCAAAATCAGAGACATAGATAACAGAGATAAGCAGCTCCTATATACTCCATTGAAATATCACTCATGCCTATCAAAAAGTGAAAAATTAGGCATTTTGTAGCAAATAAAACTTAATGGATGTTCATTTGATCCTTTAATATTATATACCATTTGAAAGGTAAATTTTTTATCTATTGCTGTATGTTAAAATATTGGTAACTTTCCATGCCTTTCACCTAGAAAAACATAGCAGAACATACCCACTGAGCCAGTTTTTCGTCGTATGAATAGTTTTGTAACAAAAACAAGAGCCATGTCAACATGGCCATCCCCCGCCGAATGTGTTTGCTCATTGGAAGAATGTATATGTAGTAGAGCGGAATAATTCCATTTTAAGAGGTCTTTTGGTAACGAAAACTGATGGCTATAGTGATTACAGATTTGAAACCTATGTGAATACTGATGGCTGAAAATAACAAAGGGCAATTACTGAAAAATAATGCAGGGTAGGTTATCATTCTTGTGTGCTGCATCCCTCCTCAGTAAAATCTATCCGCCTATGAAGTTTCAAGTTGATACCTCAAATACTTTTTGAGAAAAAAATTGAATTGAAAAATTTAGTATGAAAAAGAACAAAGGGCAATAACTGAAAAATTATAAAAGTTAGAGTTATCATTCTTGTGCAGTGCACACCTCCTGAGTGAGATCTATGCACCTATGAAGTTTCATTTTGATATCTCAAAGGCTTTTTGAGTTATGCTCTGGACAAAAATTAATTTTGAAAAATAACAAAGGGCAATAACTCAAAAATAATGCAGGATAGAGTTATTAAGCACTGCATTCCTCCTCAATGAGATCCATCCACCTTTGAAGTTTCAAGTTGATACCTCAAATACTTTTTGAGATAAGCTCTGGACAAAATAGCATGAAAAAAAACAAAGGGCAATAACTCAAAAATTGTATAGGGAAGAGTTATCATTCTTGCGCATAACATTCCTCCTCAATAAGATCTATCCACCTATGACATTTCATGTTGATATCTCAAACACTTTTTGAGTTATGCTCCATTCAGGTGAAAAATTAGGTATGAAAAATAACAAAGGGCAATAACTCAAAAATTATGAAAGGTAGAGTTATCATTCTTGTGCACTGCACACCTCCTGAGTGAGATCTATGCACCTATGAAGTTTCATGTTAATATCTCATAGGCTTTTGGAGTTATGCTCTGGACAAAAATCAATTTTGAAAAATAACAAAGGGCAATAACTCAAAAATCATGCAAGGTAGAGTTATCATTCTTGTGCACTGCACTCCTCCTCAATGAGGTCTATCCACCTATGAAGTTTCAAGTTGATAACTCAAATACTTTTAGAGATATGCTCCGGACAAAAATGTCGGACGGAAGGAAGGACGGAAGGTCGGACGGACGGAGACTATTTCTATATCCTCCGCCGAAAATTTTCGGCGGGGGATAATTATTAAGTAGATTGATGTATCATTTATTTAAATGGGAACTGTAAATATTTTTACCTGCAGCCATAGACAAATGCATAAGCTTTCAGAAAATGTATTATTTTATTGATTTTGATATCTGGTTAATAAGTTTTACTTGCTACATGTTTTAAGTTTAGCGGGCATGCGTGATATTTTAACTGGCCAGGAATTTGCCAATCTCTGTTATCTATGTCTCTGTCAAAATCTATGTCAGCTAATATCAAAGTTTACTTTACATCTTCATCTGTGCACATGGTTCAAATTTCATAGCTGTACATCAAAGGACAAGAAAGTAGGTCACATTATCAAAATCTAGGTCACCTGATATTAAAGTTCAATTTTACAACTAAAACTGTGCACATGGTCAAAATTTCATGGCCGTACATCAAAGGACAAGAAAGTAGGTCACTGTCCCCTTGGGCAAGGCAAAATTTTGACCCAAGGGTTTAAATCAAAACAATCTTGATACAGGTCCACCAAACAACATTTCATGTCAAATATCTAAGCTGTAGTGTTCTCCAATTCAGAAAACATTTGTTTTAGTTTCTGTTTTTACAAAATGTACATTATGAGAATCAATGCCCCCAGTGCAGGGCCAATTTTGACACCAGGGGAAAAATTTGAACAACTTTGGTAGAGGACCTATAGATGATTTTGTATAGCAAACATCAAAGCTCTATGCCTGGTACCTTCAGACAAGAAGATTTTTTTATTTTTTACTATATGTATATAGTGAAAATCAATGACCCCTGGGGGTGGGGCCAATTTTGACCCCAGGGCTATAATTTGTACAATCTTGCTAGAGGTTCACTACACAATGTTCATGCAAAAATTATCTTAACTCTAGCCTTTGTAAATTTAGAGAAGATGATTTTTTAACTTTTTACTATATACATTTAAGGAAAACCTATGACCCCCGGGGCGGGCTAATTTTGACACTAGAGGCAAAATTTGAACAACTTTGGTAGAGTACCTATAGATGATATTATTTAATAAATATTAAAGCTCTAAGCCTTGTACCTTCAGACAATAAGATTTTTTGATTTTTTACTATATGTATATATTGAAAATCAATGACCCCTGGGGGTGTGGCCAATTTTGACCCCAGGGCTATAATTTGTACAATCTTGCTAGAGGTTCACTACACAATGTTTCATGCAAAAAATATCTAACCTCTAGCATTTGTCAATTTAGAGAAGAAATTTATAGAACACACAAAAATCACACACACACACTGCATAGCAGATGCTATGCCACCGCATCGCAGATGCTGCGCTGGCATAAAATTACAAAAGTTCACCATCTTGTTTGAAAAATAATGACAATTTAAGTTTAGTTTTTGTATCAGTTTTATACAACAACAACAAAGTATACAACAAAGTATTACTATTATATATAGATCTATAAATACAGACCTTTTCAGAAATAGAATCTCCGAAATAGAATCTTGACTTAAGTTTTATTTCTGATAATAAATCTAATGTAAAAAAAAATAATCATTAAATTTTTGTTAAAGTTTTCTTTAGTAAATTTTCTCTTTAATAAAACAAAAATTAAATTACTTTTTTAATGTAAAATAATAGTTTACTCTAAAAAATTCAGTTTTCAGTTGTGGAGTCCTTGCTGCTAACGAAACTCTGCCTTTTAAATACGTGAATTGCTTACAGCATGCTGATGGTTTGCTTTGTGAGTTGCTAACAAAATACTAACAAACAACACCGGAACGGTTGCTAATGTTCAGTGTTAACACTGCAGACAATAGAAAATTAAAATACGAGTTAAAAATCACACAAAGCTCCATCAATTAAATTAACATATCCAATACATAAAAAACTAGAACTGCCACAGTCATGGCGTGAATACCCCCGCATACCACTTTGTCAGAATCAACAGTGGCCATTTAGAGCTCAAGGACAACCTCCCTGCCAAATCTGAAATTACTAAGCCAGTGCATTGCTAAGTTATGCATTCTACATGCTTCAAATGTAAATGTCAAAATCAATACACTGCTGACAAGTGTTGTTAAGAATTTGAAAAGACAAGCTAATTATAGTAAAAAATCCCTGTGACCTTGACCTTTGACACAGTCACCTAAAAATCAATAGAAGTCCTCTACTAGTCATAAACAATCTTAATTCCAGAAATGAAGACTGTTGACCAAAGCATTCTTAAACAATTGAGCAGCCAAGTTTTTTTTAGTCAAGGCCCCTGTGACCTTGACCTTTGACCCCGTGACTTCAAAATCAATAGGAGCACCTTATGGTCATGATCAACCTCCATGCCAAATATGAAGACTGTTGGTCAAGGGAATCTTAAGTTATTGGGCGGACAAGCTTTTTTTAGTCAAGGCCCCTGAGACCTTGACCTTTGACCGCATGACCTCAAAACTAGTAGGGATCATCTTCTAATCATGACCAATGTAAATACCAAATATGAACACTGTGGGTCAAAGGAATCTTAAGTTATTGGGCCGACAAGGAAAAACCGCCGGACAGCCTGACAGGGTGACGTCCGGATGGACAAGCTGATTCCAGTATACCCCCCTTACAACTTCGTTGTGCTGGGGTATAATTAGAATACACAATAACAAGGGAACGGTTAATGTGATGCAAAACTAAATACACATATCATTATTTTCGTATGCTCTCATAGGTACCCTCACATGGTTAATCAAAATAATGAACTAGTAATTAAATGACATCATCATATCATGCGTAACCAACATGGCTGACAATATACACTTCCGGGTTTCAGGAAACAGTAAAATTACCAATATTAGTGTAAGGGTAAGCTATTAACAATAAATAACATTGACAATAATAGAATTTAACATTCTTATAACATATCAACTTACTGTATATTTAACCAGGAAATAAGTATACATAAGGTAATTAACAAAAGGGCCATGATGGCCCTGAGATCGCTCACCTGTACATAGGCCCCCGAAGCGGGGCCAGTTTAAACCCCAGGGCTTTTATTTGAACAAACTTGGAATTAAGACACCCATTAGAAGATGTTTCATGATGTTAAGTTTTTGCTATACACATATAAGGAAAAACAATGACCTTCTCACCCCCCCCCCCCCAGAGTTAATTTTAACCCAAGGGCTTTTATTTGAACAAATTTGGTAGAAACCCATAAGAAGATGTTTCATGCTAAACATCTAAGCTCTAGCTCATTGGGTTTTTTAAAAGAAATTTTTTTAAGTTTTTACTATACACATATAGTTAAAAACAATGACACCCCTGGGGCGGGGCCAGTTTTGACCCCAGGGCTTTTATTTGAACAAACTTTGTAGACACTTATTAGAAGATGTTTCATGCTTAATATCTAAACTCTAGCTATTTGGGTTTTTTCAAAGAAGATTTTTTAAGTTTTTGCTATACACATATAAGGAAATCAATGAACCCCGGGGCGGGGCCAATTTTGACCCCAGGGCTTTAATTTGAACAAACTTTGTAGACACTCACTAGAAGATGTTTCATACTTAATATCTAAACTCTAGCTATTTGGGATTTTTTCAAAGAAGGTTTTTTAAGTTTTTGACACATATAAGGAAAATCAATGACCCCCGGGGCGGGGCCAATTTTGACCGCAGGGCTTTTATTTGAACAAACTTAGTAGACACCCATCCCATTAGAACATGTTTCATGCTAAATATCTTAGCTCTAGCTCTTTGAGTTCTTTAAAAGAAGATTTTTTAAGTTTTTACTATATGCATATAGGGAAAATCAATGACCCCACTCAGGTGCAGGGCCAATTTTGACCCCAGGGCTTTTATTTGAACAAACTTGGTAGACACTCACTAGAAGATGTTTCATGCTAAATATCTTAGCTCTAGCTCTTTGGGTTCTTTAAAAGAAGATTTTTTAAGTTTTTACTATATGCATATAGGGAAAATCAATGACCCCCTGGGGCGGGGCCAATTTTGACCCAAGGGCTTTTATTTGAACAAACTTGGTAGACACTCATTAGAAGATGTTTCATGCCAAATATCTAAGCTCTATCTCTTTGGGTTCTTTAAAAGAAGATATTTAAAGTTTTTTCTTTCGGTTGCCATGGCAACCAGAGTTCTGCATGGAATTACATTCTTTGAACAATTTTTAAAGGTGACCACCAAAGGAACATTCCTGTGAAGTTTGGATGAAATTGGCTTAGTGGTTTATGAGGAGATGTCATTTGAAGCAAAAGTTTACGGACGGACGGACGCCGGACGAAAAGCGATCACAAAAGCTCGCCCTGTCACTTTGTGACAGATGAGCTAAAAAGTAAATAAAGTCAATGAAATTCGGTGCATCACAATATAATAGCAATAATGTCACAGGTATCACCGTGTATATCCAGTCACGCAGGAATGTGCAAATAACGCAGGATGTGCAAAAGTAACGCAGAATTTGCAATTTAGTGGCTAAAACGAGCACCGCGATAAGTAAATAGACCAATCCTTTATTGTACACCAAATTGGAAGAAATGAGTTAGCGCATATGGTTGCTGAGACATTATTCTTTAAACTTCATCATTAAAATGTTTATTTTTCAATATCGTTCGTGAAAATGACGACCTGACTAGCATATTGATGGAGATTTTTAGTTTCGTTGATATCTTTAAATACAATAAGGTATGTCTTACTTTATGATTTTTTATATTCGGTGTACCTGAGACATTTTCCTAGCTACTCATGTCATATTACACTTGATTTAGCAGATAAAACGTAGCTGGGACCATTTTTACGAGGTAACGCCAAATCAATGAATCAACGGTTGTTATCTCATTAAAAGTAGCTAAATTCTATTTTATCAGCTTCCTTCTATTGTTATACAACACTTGTATTTCGACAAATGTTTGTTGTCTCAAATGGTGAAAAAATGCCTTATTTAGGCCCCCAACACTTGTTTTTGTTTGAGAAATGTTGTTAAAAAAAGTGACCACTTTTTTGGCGCGACCCCCAAACAAAAGATACATCAGGGGTTTGCTAGAAGGGGGATGTGCCCAAGAAAATTTTGGACTTGTGAGAGGCTATAAATGACCTCAGATTGATCATAAGGTAACGTGTAACCAACGCTGAAAAGCATTTGACTCTATCTCAATCCATTGAGAAGTTGCAGCACTTTGAAATCAATTATGATGGAAAAAATCAACGCAAAATAGTGATTTTTGGCTATTTTGAGATGTCCCCTCGTTGCCATGGTAACAGAAAATTTAAGCCTGAGCATGTTGTTGCAAGGGCAATGGTCCAGTCAACATTTGTGCCAAGTTTGATTAGTGTTGAAGCAGTTTTTATAGTATTATAGCAATTTGAACTTGTAACGGGAGACTTTTCAATGAAAACAGCCATTTTTCACAAACTGCTCATGAAGTAATGGGTTAAATGTGTTACATGTACATGTACATATTTATTTGACAAAACACAAATGTCACCTTCAAAACAGTAATCAGGTTGTCTTTCTCACGAATGATCTTAGAAAGTAAACATATTCCTGAAAAAAATTGTAATGCTGGTTAAAGTATAATGTTGCAGCAGCTGTATGCGCTTAGATTCATTTCTTTAAATCTGATTTAGAATAAAACATTTTGGTTTGTTTACTTACTGTGTTATTCGTTTTGGCAACAGTGTTGCACAGATTCGGCGTTACTTTTACGTTAATTGCACATTCCTGCGTTACTGGAAATGCACGGTGGGTACTGTTTCTTGCTACAGTACAGATCTAATTTAACATAGTATGTTTATCATAGATATTGCGTCTTTGTTCTTGCACTGTGCTCTTCCAGCGCTTCTGCTCGTCAGAGACATAGTTGATAACCGACTTCTGCCGAGCCACTCGTGGTCTTGCACCATCAAATTGAGGCACTTGGGACACAGTCTGGTCATCCTGTAATAAACAAGAGCCGATTGAACCGAGTGATGCTTCCCGACTAGGTTTTGGACACAGAAAAGTATATCTTTTGTATTTCAGAGTTATGTCCCAGACAAAGTTCAAAGTGTGATAATTCCAAACTTAGGCAAGGCAGAGTTACTGTTCTTCTACTCAATGAGATCTACAAACTTGCGCGCGACACGTCTTCTCAATATGGTAATCATTTTTGTGAAATAGTTGTAAAAACGAAGTTATGGTCGGACACAATTTTGCTGCAAGGTCATGCTGTGACCTTGACTTTCAAAGTAGCGACCGAAATGTTGCGCGAGACACGTTGTCAATATGGTGATCATTTCTGTGACATAGTTGTAAAATCCAACTTCAAATAACTAAGTTATAGGCCGGACACGATTTTGCTGCAAGGTCATGCAGTGACCTTGAGCTTCAAGGTAGCGACTCAAATGTTGCGCACGACACGTCGTCTCAATATGGTGATCATTTCTATGAAATAGTTGTAAAATCTGACTTCAAATAACGAAGTTATTGGCTGGACAAGATTTTGCTGCGAGGTAATGCGGTGACCTTGACCTTCAAGGTAGCAACCCAAATGTTGCACTGGACACGTCATCACAATATGGTGATCATTTCTGTGAAATAGTAGTAAAATCCGACTTCAAATAATGAAGTTATGGGCCAGACCGATTTTGCTGCAAGGTCATGCTGTGACCTTGACCTTCAATGTAGCGACCCAATTGTTGCCCGCGACATGTCATCTCAATATGGTGATCATTTTGGTGAAATAGTTGTAAAATCTGACTTCAAATAACAAAGTTATGGGCTCGACACGATTTTGCTGCAATGTCATGCTGTGACCTTAAACTTCAAGGTATAGCGACCAAACTGTTGCCCGCGACACATTGTCTCAATATGGTGATCATTTCTGTGAAATAGTTGTAAAATCCGACTTCAAATAACGAAGTTATGGGCCGGACACGATTTTGCTGCAAGGTCATGCTGTGACCTTGACCTTCAAGATAGCAACCCCAATGTTGCGCGCGACACGTCGTCTCAATATGGTGATTATTTCTGTGAAATAGTAGTAAAATCAGACTTCAAATAACAAAGTAAATTATGGGCCGGACACGAATTCGGGACGTACGGACTGATGGACGGCCGGACAACGCCAAAACTATATCCCCCTCCCGATTCCATCGGCGGGGGATAAAAACAAGAAGCGCCGCAATGCGACAAAAACCAGGTTTTCAACGACCAAGTTTTGATGTGACAGCAATCAATAGGTCAAAGTGCACTGAAGTTATTGAGTAGAAGCTGAAAATTCTATTGTAAGCAAATAACCTTGACCTTGCTCCTAGATATTTAAGTGGCAATCCAAAGCTGCCACGCAGCAAGTTTGGTGTCAAAAGGTCAAAGCAAACTCAAATTATAACATGAAAACTAAATACATTAACCTTGATCACAGACACCTGGGTAGCAATCCTAAGCTGCCTCTTGATATAAGCTACCCATTCATAAAGTTTGGTGTCAATAGGCCAAAGCAAACTCAAGTTATTGAGCAGAACTGAATTTCTGATTTTTAGTAACAGTGACCTTGACCTTGATCACAGACACCTGGGTAGCAATCCTAAGCTGCCTCTTGATATAAGCTATCCATACACCAAGTTTGGTGTCAATAGGCCAAAGCAAACTCAAGTTATTGAGCAAAAAAATCTGAATTTCTTTTTTTAGTAACAGTGACCTTGACCTTGATCACAGACACCTGGGTAGCAATCCCAAGCTGCCTCTTGATATCTACCTACACACCAAGTTTGGTCTCAATAGGCCAAAGCAAACTAAAGTTATTGAGCGGAAATCAAAAGTTGATGCCCGCCAGCCCGCCCCGTGCCTGCCCGCCCGCCCGCCAGCTTCGGCATTACAATAATCCGGTTTTCGTAGAAAACCTGGTTAATAAACAAAGGGCAAAAACTCCAGAATTAGGCAAGGCTGAGTTATGATTCTTGTGCACTGCACATCTACCCATTGAGATATATCTACCTACAAAGTTTCATGTTGATATCTCTTATAGTTTTACAGCCATGTCCTGGACAAGATTTTTCTAAAAGGGGAGATAATTCAAAGACCGGGCAAAATAGAGTTATGGTTCTTTGACACTGCACTCCCCCTCAATGCCCTCTACCACTGTATGAAGTTTAAACAAATTATCTCCAAGGGTTTTCAAGTTATGCTGCGGACAAGACAACAGACGGACAGACGGACGTTCCAATATTTGGGTTTAGGGGCTATTTTCTTTGTTATTTTCCTTGTTTTCTTAAGGGCTACTAGCCCATAAACCCTTTGATCACCGAATGAACCTATTGTTCTCTTTTGTTCTCTTTACTGTTATATAGCCCCTAAACCCAAAATGTTTGCTCGGAAGACAGACGGACGGACAGACGGACAAGGCGCCGACTATATGCCCCCCTGAAATTTTTCGGGGAGCATAATAACAAAGTTATTACAATTTAAGCAAATTTCAATAATTTGACCTTGACAGTCAAGGTCTATCGTAGGTCATAGTCATATGACAGACTAATTTAACATGTCAGTTCTGTCGTATATGTGTTTTTGTCCAAGTATTAATCAAATCCATAAATTGATATCAAAGTTATGGCCAAATGTAGCGAAATTCACTAATTTGACCTTAAGTGTCGAGGTCAAATTAAGGTCAATGTCAAGTTCTTTGGTGTCTTGTCCCAAAGATTATTGTGCAAGTATATTTTTTTCAATTTTTTTCAATACATTTTTTTCAATTCAAAACTAGAACTGCCACTATGATGGCGTGAATACCCCCGCATACCACTTTGTCAGAATCAACAGTGGCCATTTAGAGCTCAAACACAATCTCCCTGCCAAATCTGAGGTTACTAAGCCAGTGCATTGTATTCTACATGCTTCAAATGTGAAAATGTCAAAATCAATACATTGTGGACAGGACATTTACTTAAGCAATTGAGAAGAAAAGCTTTTTTTTGTCAAGCTCCCTGTGACCTTGACCTTTGACCCAGTGACCTCAAAATCAATAGGGGTCACCTTATAGTCATAATCAACATCCATGCCAAATATGAAGACTGTGGGTCATAGGAATCTAAAGTAATTGGGCAGACAAACTTTTTGAAGTCAAAGTCCCTGTGACCTTGACCTTTGACCTGGTGACCTCAAAATCAATAGGGGTCATCTACTTATCATGACTAACCTCCATTCCAAATATGAAGACTGTGGGTCAAAGGAATCTTAAGTTATTGGGCGGACAAGTTTTTTCAAGTCAAGGCCCCTGTGACCTTGACCTTTGACCTGGTGACCTCAAAATCAATAGGGGTCATCTACTAATCATGACTAACCTCCATGCCAAATATGAAGACTGTGGGTCAAAGGAATCTTAAGTTATTGGGCGGACAAGCTTTTTGAAGTCAAGGCCCCTGTGACCTTGACCTTTGACCTGGTGACCTCAAAATCAATAGGGGTCATCTACTAATCATGACTAACCTAGATGCCAAATATGAAGACTTTGGGTCAAATGAATCTTAAGTTATTGGGCGGACAAGCTTTTTCAAGTCAAGGCCCCTGTGACCTTGACCTTTGACCTGGTGACCTCAAAATCAATAGGGGTCATCTACTAATCATGACTAACCTCCATGCCAAATATGAAGACTGTAGGTCAAAGGAATCTTAAGTTATTGGGCGGACAAGAAAAAACCGACGGACGGCCGGACGGCCGGACAGCCGGACGGACGGACGGACGGACGGACAAGGTGATTCCAGTATACCCCCCTTACAACTTTGTTGTGCGGGGGTATAATTAGTTAATTATAGCAAAACAAAAGCAATCTGTGATCACATGTGTTGCCTCACGATAGCCAATTGCATGTAACGTTGCTACTGTGTAGCAGGAGACACAAAATTCATTAACGAGGCAAAATTCCTTTTTTATTCAAGGGCCATAACTGTACCAAAATCTTCCAACCAGAAAATCTGTGTTATATGTGCAAGTACTTGAGCTACCAATCAATCCTGTTAAGTTTCACTAAAATTGCAATATATAGTGGTATAAATGGAGTTACTAAGTTCAGACAAATTTTGAATGGATTATCATCAAACCAAGACCAAATTCGAACTTGACCAGTTTATTCTTATGGCATATCCATATATCATTGATTTGAGTTGAATATGTACAACTGTTGGGGAGATAATGAACAGAAACTGAAAATTTCCTTTTTTTTCAAAGTTAAAGGGGCATTACTCTGCCAAAAATCATCGCACCATGACCAAATTCTAACCTGCGCAATTCTTTGACATATCCATATGTCAAATTTGAGTTAAATGTGTATTACCGTTGGGGCAATAATGAACTGAAACTGAAATTTTATTATTTTCAAAGTGAAAGGGGCATGACTGCCAAAAATCATCAAACCATGACCAAATTCTAACTTGGCCTGTGCATTCCTTTGACGCATCCATGTCAAATTTGAGTTGAATGTGTTACAAATACCGTTGGGGAGATAATGAACAGAAACTGAAAATTTCATATTATTTTCAAAGTGAAAGGGGCATAACCAATATGACCAAATTTGAACTTGACCTGCGCATTCGTTTGACGTATCCATATGTCACATTTGAGTTGAATGTGTAATACCTTTCCGGGAATTTAATGAACGGAAACTGAAAATCTCCTCAAGGGGCATAAGTCTGTCAAAAATCATTGGTCATTTGGACCATGACCAAATTCGAACTTGACCTGTATTTTTTTATGATATATCCGTATGTCAAATTTGAGTTGAATGTGTGCAACCATTACTGAGATAATGAACAGAAACTGATGATGACGGCATGACAGAAGGATGGAAGCACAGAACAGGGTAACACTATATGCCAAAGTAACATTCCTGTGAAGTTTGGATGAAATTGGATTAGCGGTTTATGAGGAGATGTTGTTTAAAGTAAAAGTTTACAGACGGACGAAA